GTGGAAACGTAGGGTCCATCCATATTATTGTGGGAAAATTCAACTAGCATTACCATTATCACCCTAAACGAAACAGGATGAAAATATCTCACATATATGATCTAATGGTAGTCTCAGAAGCCTGCTTATAAACCAAAAAAATAAGTAAATTAATCTATTGTAGCTATGAAGACCAAGATGTTGTGGCCTCTGGTATGGTCGCAGTCTCCTTTCAATTTGTAGAAGTGGGTTGACCTCGTTGTCACAACTTGGTCTTGTTGTCAAGACGACTTAATAGAAGTCCGAAGTCGTCTGCCATAGTAGTTGTCCTGTTTCCCAGCATCTGACAGTGGAGTTGATACATTATCAAACGTTTCGCCGGCATCGTAGTCAGCTTTGCCATTCTTCACACCAAGATACGAACTCGTCAAAGAGACAAGTGAAGTCGATGCCTCGACAACCGTTCTGCCGAAAACGATTACACTATCCCTCCTCTTCCTGTCCTGGTCTATCTATCTACTCTTTACCCTCTTATCCCACTGCCGCCCTAGAGTTAGCGATAACTTTACCAAACCTCTTAAACGAAATAGTGTAAATACATCTCATATATAATGTGTCTTCAAATCTTTGAAAAATTTGCTGAAATGTTTACATTTCAGGAGGCTTATCGAAGAACGATGCAGAAAGTTCCCAATATGGTCTTTGTATTGTGGTACCTACAAGGGATGTAATTTAAATATAGTCCACATTGGCTTCTTTTGGTTTATCGTACTCCCCATGTTCGGCCAGTATTCGCAGTCCAAAAATAAACAAGTTGCGCATACATACAGGATATCAATGTACACACACAAAAGTTACAGGCACACACGAGCTCGCATACAACAGCATAGGGTCATTCGTTATTCCCCTGCCACGGAAACGGATATTTGGAGCACTTTTGCGGAAGAAAGAAGGGAAGCCACAATTCACTTTAATTCGCTGTTGATGGGGTGTCTGATAGGGTACAGGTCACTCTTTATTCCATGGCAATCCTCCTTTGTCTCCCGATGAGACCATTCGCTAATTACTCTAAATCAACTTTTATTACGAACTGAAGTCGCACCACATTTCATGCATTTTTATTGAATTTCGAACTATCATTCTCCTAATTTTGGTAGCATATGTTGTCCTTCAGGCATCAATATCACTTGGTTGTCGATGACCTGGTGTGGAAGAGTTCTGGAAACTCTGTTACGCCCAAGCATTGGTACCAAGTGTTTATGTAGCTTCCTCAAGAGAACCACTTTCTGTTTTGGTCGTAAGGATGGATGCGTCATTTACACAACTAGAGGTTGCAATAGATACAAGAGGCTAGGCTGTCTAGCCAGCCCTATGCGGTAGATTGAAGTACGGGTCGCTTTGGCGAGATGCATTTGTGGAAGGGTCACTCGAGAAAAAGGTCAAAGTCGTAAGACCTCCCGGAACTTACGAGGATTTTTAACTATTGAACGAATATGCTTAGAATATGAATTTGAATGATATTTTGGGTCAACCAGCCATGCTCGTTTAAAGCATTACAAAAGCCTCATGATACCAGGTTTTCTCTTCCGGCATGAACTGTAATTTCAATCTCGCCTGGGTTGAAACGGAAACTCAGTCAGGCTTGGATGAGAATACCCATTTGCAGGGAGGGAAAAGTCAAAGTCGTTGGCGACCTAGGTTGGTGGATGGTATCAATTTTGGTAAGACTTAGAACAAACTATCCCATCATCGAGTCGCTTACTGTCTGTATTGTCTTACAATTCCCCCGTGCCTTTGTCAGCATCGTCAGTGAGCAGCACTCAGAGACAACTCGTCAAAGGGATGAGTGATGTCAACGCCTTGGCAACACCTCACCATCATCAGCCTGTTGAACTAAATGAGAGTCCGGGTTGTACGGTCCACTTTGTCAACTAGGCACGGGTGAAGATGAGCCAGATGGTAGAATTTACGTTCAAAGTCTGACTCTGCCATTGCATTCGACGAGTGTACTCTTCACCAAATGAGAAAGCTTCCGAAGGCTTTCCAACTTTCCAGCGAATGTCTGGGCAACGGGGTTGGGATGTTCACATGTGTCAAGCCTGTCTGGGACCTCAGAAACGAATGAGTTGAAATCAGCGATAACTCGTTCGATTAGTTGCTACTGTGCTACTTTTATCACTTAATTGGCGTTGAATAAATACATGCATACATCCACCTTGAGGCTAACTGAGATAGGACTACCGAGCTATGCGTTATCTAGACTGTAGGAAAGAGCAGTGAACAAGCCTGTTGCTATGCCAATTGTAAAAGTGACGACAACCTGTTTTATCAGTTGCCTTCTGGCGATTAGAACACGGCCTCGTCACATCACAAAGTCATAGCTGGCCGACAGGCTTTCTGCTTCAGGCGATATGACATAATGAGCAGTCACCGGGTCAGATAGTCGGTCTCATGGCTAATTGAATCTGGAGCGATGCGTCGACTCCCTCCCCCGGCCCAGACGGGCGCTCATCTGCCCACCCTCGGTCCGATTCTCGGCTCGGCCGGCCATCCTCGTCTCATTTGTCTTTGCGGACACCACTGAACCGAAGACATGGCGTATGCCGGCAAGCCGTGTCTAGTGACGGGGCTCTCGGTAGCGTGAAGATGCGTTTTTACGCAAAAAGGGCACTCCATGTGTTACGTGATGATGGCAAAGCTTAGTTTACTTGGTTGGGAAGAAAGTGGATTGTATCGTGGCCACAATAATTACACTTTATACTCATTCGTCTGTGCATGTTTGTGTGTACATTGGCTTGTATGCTTGCAAACGGCAGAGGCTTTGGCCTGGTCAGGATACAACAAACTCCGGCCAACGGAGTACACGGCACGCAAGACGACAATTTATTTGTCAGGACAGCCCGCGTCTGTAGTGGAGATGGCGGATGCTGGAGAATGAACTGTCTACAACATGTTGCCCAAATCGGGTCTGGCCGACGTGAAGGCCAACAGTACGGAGGCAGGGAGATGTTGGCCAGTCGACCGGAAGCGTAAGGACGAGTTGGTGACTAATGGAATGTTTAGCCCTAAGGGATGCCCCCTTTAGTGCTCGGCTCGAACAAACCACCCATAACTAGGATGAGTTTATTCTACAGTTATTGCTTGGCCAGGCCTCGGTCAATATCCGCTATGAGCACAATTTCAACATGTCCAACATTTTGAAGAGGTACAGCTCCACTGTCCGTGTGTCCAAGAGAGGCAGAAGTACCGCTTCACGGGATTCCAAATCCTTCTGGAGAAGCAAATGCAAAAGCTCAATTACTCCCCTCGACACCAGCGATTTCGTACATGTAAACATGAGACTATCAAATCTCTCGACAATTAGA